TTTAATAGATTCAATATATCAGTTTTAATATTAGTTGATAATTTTAAATGTATCTAACCATACAATTTTTAAATATGTTCAATACATTATATTAATCAAATTGAACAATTAATTACTTACTAATAACTCATTTAATCTTGCTATCCACGGATTTACTGCTATACAAATTTTTAATATTTTATTGATGAGCGGAAATGTGTAAGAGATTTTTATATTTTTTTCCTTTTAACTTTATGTATAAAGAAATTTGATGGGTAATCATATATTTGTAATTTAAATAAAATTTAATAATATTTTGGTAGTAATTTATAATTACTTTTACTAAAATAGAAATTTGATATTTTTAAATGGAACAGATGAAAATAATAAAAATAATATTTTAAATTGGGACGGAAAGAGTATTAAATATTCAGTATCAAAGAATAAATTTAAAAGATAAAATAATTTTCAACGTAATTATGAAAGTTATTGATAAAAATAATACACATATTACATTTATTTACAAAAAAAAATCAACTATAAAGTAAAAAATTATAATATCTTACTTACGGATTCTTAATTAAATTTATGAAAAATTTATCAATTTAGAAAATTGAAATTTGTTTAAAAAATCACAATTTTCTTTTAATAGAAAATTGAAAAAACATTACAAATACAATAATACTAACCTATAACAAATGACATAACTAAATATTGAAATAAATACAATTGATAAAAGTAATCATAATTGAAAAACTCGACCTCGATATTTTAAAATTTGAATTATAAATGCACAAATATTAAGTCACATTTTTATCCTTATATATCAACAATGCCATAAATTTATATATTAAATATTACTAAAATTTTAGGGGTACAATTGTAGATTTATTCACCTATTGTAGTAAATACATGTAAAATAGTAATATTTCAAAATCCACATAATAATAATCATAATAATAATAATAATAATAATAATAAAACAAACCAATATATACATATCCGATGCAAGGGTATAAAAATTGTATAGTTTATGTTATATACATTGAATTTAAGAAATATTAATATTTTATTAATAATATTACTAAACATTGGTTATAAGTTTTTTTTTTTCTTGTGAACAAATTTTTTTTAATTATAAAAAATAATAATATTTACATTATAATAATATGAAAGTTAACAAAAATTTATGTTAGATATAGTTATTTATAATAATAAGACTGTTCATTTTGAAAAAACAAAAATTATAAATAAGATTATTGATTTGAAAGGATGAAATATTATTTTAATCTATAAAATTTAGATATATAGAATAATTATATAATCATAGTGAATGAAAATTACAATTAATATAATTTGTAGCTAAAAATATCTTTGGAAATAATAAAATTTTACATAAAAATATTAATTTAATATGAAATGAATAGATGTTTGTCATAAATTTTTATATAATAAATATATATGTATATATGTAATTATATAAAAAACAACAAATAAATAAATAAATAACTTAACTTCAACCGATGTTTTTATTTGCCAGAATAATGTAAGACTTTGAATCAGAATGCCAAGAAAAATCCAAATAATACCTTATAAAATTAAATTATTTTTTTCTGTGTGCTTGAATTCTTCAAAAACAATTTATTTCATTTGGGCATGAAGCATCATCAAACTATATTAATGACAAAGTGAATAAACCTATATATTAAAAAAAAAAAAAAAAATCACATCATAAAATAAAAATAGCATGAAATTAAATACAAAGAGGTCAACATGATAATTAGAATTTAAAAAACTTTACTACACAAACAACCATAAACATGATATTAGTCAATTAATTAATTAATTAATTTATATTTTATTAAAATTTAAATTTTTTGTAAATATCAAATATACCCAATTATAAAATATATATATAAATAAATAATTCAACACAAAATACTATTTATAAAGTAAAAAAAGTAAAGAAATCGTATGTAACTTTATTTTAGATAAATTATGATTATCCTTTTATGATATACTTATGAATTTATATATATTAAAAAGTGAATTATACCATTTTAAATATATATATATATTTCCTCCGTTCCATGTTATTTTTTATTTTTATTCGTCTCAAAACAAATTCTCCGTCCAAACAAAAAGTATACATATATTTTTGGCACGGAGTTTAAAAAATAATAGTATTCTAATTATAGTGGGTAGGTAAAAGTAGTGTAATGATATATTTGTCCTTACTTTTCTGGGTATAAAAGTAATGATGTGATGTAAAGTAGGGGTATTTGTGAAAAAAATGAGGTATTTAATAAAATGATTACTTTGTTATTGGACGTCCCAAAATAGAAATATGTATACTTTCTAGCTGGACGGAGTATAATTTAGTAATTGTAGTATTTACTTAACGTAATAAATATTCTTACAACTTACAATATATTACACAAATATCATTATTTTTATATTATACGGTACTAATGGGACATTTTTGTCTTTTTTACTGCAAATCAATATGATTCTAATATTATAAAATTTACATACAAAAATCAAATCATTCTATTATTGCAGGACATAGGCAATGACACAGTTCTAAGCGGGGTTTAGGGGCAGCAGACCCCGGCCCTCAAAATATAAATATTTTTTTTTATTCTATAAAGTATTAAAATTATATAATTTGTATTATTTTACCCCATTTCTCCCAATTTTTTTATTTGATGGTGTAAAAAATAATAAATTTTTTGTATTTTTTTTTATTTATACTTTTAGGTTTTATTTTTTTTTTAAGTAAAAAATATTATATTTTATATAATTTTTTTTCAATTTTTTTCTAAATATTTAATTTTTACTTATTGTTTTCCCCCTATTTATCCAATTGCATCGGGCAAAATTCTTTTGAAAAATAGACAAATTCAAATAAAAAAAAAATTATATTTTGCCCCAGCCCCACCTCCCCATTAAGGCTATAAAAGATATAATAAGATCAAATATAAAGATAAATATATAAATACATAAATGATTTGAATACAGTAATTATACATAATAAAAAAAATTAAAATGAAGATAAATTACAGTGACTTACATTTTTTTAATATATACAAAAACTTATGTATATATAAAAAGATTAACGTAAAAGTTATTGTTGTAGATTTTATATATTGTTAAAATTATGGAAATAAATTAATTAAAAAATTTCAAATAAATAAGGAAAGAAAAAAATCTCAAAATCAACATCCTAAAAAATATTCAATTAAAAATATGTAGGATTCTAAAAAAAAAAATGCATAAATTGATCATAAATAGTACTCCAACTGTCTTTGAATCGTGTACTCATTTGATCGGATACGAATTTTAAGAAAAATAGATAAAAATATAAACTTTTATTTTGTTTTAAATAAAAAAAATAGAAAAAGTGATTTATTTTTTTACTTAAAAAGAAAAACGAGAATAAATTTTGATCACAATAAAAAAGAGAAAAAAATAAAAATAGATTTGGACGACAATATAAAATATGAATTAAATAAAAAATTAGTTTAAAACATAATAAATTAACAATAAAAAATACTATAGTAATCAATATACAGAAAAAGTAATATAAAAAAACAACATAATATATGGACTCCGCATACATTCAACTAATTAATAAAAACTGAGATAAAAATTTTCAAGGATTTGTTTGCCCAATTTATTTTTTTTCAGATAATATTTTAATATATATTTTATTGTATCATAAAAATCAATATTCAATATGTAATATTTTTATATTACTTATACATTCTTTTAAATTTAAATAAAAAAATCAAATCAAATCAAAACACTAAACAAATAAATTATAAATTTTGCAGATTACTCCCTAAATATAGCCAACAAAAAGTAATAATTAATATGTAGGCAAGAATGAGCTCAGACCCAAATTAGAAGATGGGAATGATTATCCAAAACTGTATTATACAATATTAATTTAATTAATTCAGGTAACTAATTATTTTTTTTTATTCTTTTGTTTTTTTTTTTTTTGGAGAAGACGATCAATTACAAAAACGACAAGAATGCAACACGGGATGCTACAAAATTTGACGTTATACACAGAGGCGCCGCATTCCAAGGCTCAAAAAATTCAGTGAACAATAAGCGAAATTATACATACTCGTGAATTCATTCATACAGATTTTTGATTTAGGTTACTGTAATAAATTACAAAATGCGTATTGGATGATTTTACCGCATTCATGTCCGTGGTCTTCGATGCACGTCTCAATTGGTTAATTGAATTTCACCTTTGGCAGAGCGTCCAAATTAGAGATTTAATTTTACGGTAATAATCAATTATTTGAATTTCTTTTTTTGCAAACTGTCCAGATTAGGGATTTGATTTGGTAAATTCATCCACGACAGTGCGCTAATTTGCTTGATTTTAAGGAGTCATTTCTTGTCCAAATTTCGATTTAAAACCTCTAATTAGACACATACATTTTACTGTTTCGGGTGTGTCTTTTTGTATGAATTTGGATTCAGACACAGCTGTGTATCTTGTCTGGTTTGTACGCAGCTGTTTCCATTTTCTTTTTCCATAACTTAGTTGTGTTGGGTGTTTGTAGTGTCCTGATGCATTTATATTGTCCTTAAATGTGTTCAAATTTGGAGTGCACATTTTCAGGTCTTTTTAGAAAAATAAAAAAAAAAAGCAGCACTCCAAGTGTTCGTTAAAATGCCTCTTGAGAAACCATAAAGATGCCTTATTACCATACTCCCCTCTCTCACTCTTCTCTTTCTCTCTCACTCTAAATGTTTCTTTTTCAGTCAAGATGTTTGTTAGTGGGGTTTGATTGATAAAAAAGTGATGTCTTCCTACATATGTAATGGAAGTTCTTTTTCCACACTTTATTCATAGCCCTTTCGAATTCGATTCAGCCTTAGTTTGCTTCCATTAGTAAAGATTTCGGTTATACATCAGATCATCAGTTGGCCTAAGAAAAAAAAAAAAAAAAAAAAAAATCGAGCGTTCTACCATTTGAGCTATAGTTTCGGCAATGGGTCCATCGAGCGTCAAAAGAGCAATGAACACAAAAAGATCGCCTTCAAGGAGAAGAAGGAGAAGAACGAGAAGAAGAAGCCCTCGGAATGTCCCAACCACGACGAATAATCAAGACAACTCATTGCTCGTTTCCTCGGCCGGACCCTCGTCCGATGTAGAATGTTCCACGCCGAAAGGCGAGAGGTTCCAAATACCCGAGGCCGCGACATGCCCTCCGGCGCCTAAGAAAAGTCGAGCCATTGAGGGTTCTTTGAAGAGAACTTCCATGGCTTTCTATACCTCTCCGGATATCGAACTCTTCTTTCGCTTAGCTTTTCGTCGAATTCCGTCGTGATGAAGTATTCGCTATGGTTGGATTAATGCTTAGCTTGTTGCTTTGATCTTGGTTGGTGATTTTAAAGAGTGTGTGGTCGTGTGAGAATTCAGGTTTTATCTTGAGAATGTTGTGTTGTTAGGGTTTGGGAATAGGCAGTCATCAGTTTGTACTAATTTTAGCAGCCAGCTGTTCAGTTCACTTGTGTGCAATTATTGAGTCCAATTTGATCTTCAATCACAACCCTCGTTTCCTTTTTCTATTTAAATTCTTATGTGCAGAAGATGTTTGTGGGATCACAATGATCATACATTATACACAGCTACAGTAAAATTCAGTCATCAATGGCAGCACTCAGGATCAAGAAAGGGCCCCTCCCTCCATCCTCAGTGCAATCAAGAATATTTCAAAAAAAAAAAGAATATTTCAAAAATAATTCCCATAAAAAAAAAAAAAAAATTCAAATTAAAATTGCTATAAATTCCTATTAGTTTGTCTAGCCACACATAGCTTACTTTTAATAGCTTATTTTGCTGACATAGTTTGCAGGTTATTACGTGAGATTTATTAAAACTATACTGAACAACGGTTGTTAGATCAAACTTTGCGATACCTTAACTTACATGATTGGCGTGATTTGCAGGTCTATTGTATGTAAATCGAAAAATATTTCAATATACATTCGAAAAATAGCATTTGCGAGTTACGGTATTGAAGCAAAAGGGTCCAAGTACAACACCCATACTCTATTTCTTGGGGTGCCCTCTCGAGTGTTCGTCAGAATTACTGTTAGTGTTTTCTTTAAAAAAAAAATTATTATTTAGATTCTGAATTTTTTAATAAAATAATTTATTAAATATTATTTTAATATCAAATTTAAAACAAATTTTATGATACTCACTCTAAAGGAAAATATTTTTGTATATTTTTGTGTGGTTATATACTTTAATATATGATGGGACATGGTGATGCAGCTGAGCTTGGCCAAACATCAGCCAAAGAATCCAATGTGTGGAAAGACTCGTGTGCCATGCAATGTAATGATGCAATTCCCTTCTTTATATATATATATATATATATATAGATATATGTATCTATATGTATATTTGGATACATCTAGAGAAAGTAATGGAAAGGCTAGGAATATATTGATGTGTCTGTTTTGTATCTATATTGTACCCCCTCTCTCCGGCGAGAGATTGAGCCTTTTGTTAGAAAACGGTATTTTAGTTGGCGTAAATTATTAAGTTATTAATAATAAGTTAAGATGATATATATATGTTTTTTTATATGTGTAGTGTTGTTGGTATTTTAGATATTTTTAGAATTATAACTCAATTAAATATATGTAATATGAATATCATTTTGTAAACAATAAAATTTTATACAATACAAATTAATAAAAAAATATATATATTTATTTATTTGTCATTACCATAAATTAGATTAATAAAAATGAGGAGTTTTAAAAGTAGATAAAAATATTTGTTAATTGATGAGAGAGATAGAAATAAAGGAATTTTGATAAGTATGTTTAGGATTGATAAACTTACCAAAAATGAAAAGAGGTTATCTTTTGTGGGACGTACCAAAATGAAAATTGGATCATCTTTCGCGGGACGGAGGGAATATATGATAATACAATATATAATATATGATAAATTCACGTAGTACATTGTATTATTGATTTACATCACAGCAAGATATAAACTACATCGCATATGATTCTATATACTTCTTCCGCTTGTCAAATTTATTATTATATTTCTTTTTAGTTCGTCCGTTAAATTTATCATATTATTAATTTTGGCAAAGTCAATAAATTAATATTTAATTATTTTTCTTCGTTAACACTTTATTCACAGCAAATACAACTACTCCTATTATATTCTCTCTTCATTTACTTTAATTTCTAATTAAAAAAATTCTAAAAATTTCCTCAACTATATTTTTATTTTTATCATTTTTTCAATAAAATATATTTTTTTAATATATGTGCGGGCCTAAATTAGACTAATTTTAATGGACGAATGAGTAATGAAGTATATTTTATTGAAATGTAGTGTTTAAAATATTTAAATACCTATTTTAAATTTCTTTTAATTATATATTAATTTTTATTCTAAATATATTAACTTCACTTATATAAAAAATAATAAAATAATATTATAACTAATATACTTTACCTATTAAATTACACCACCTAAAATCATATCTCTAACCAAAAATGTCATCTTACCCGGACAGAAAGAGTATTATATTTTAATGATATTTTTATATATTAAAACTATTTTACTCGTGTGATTTATAAAATTAATATCAATGTATTGATGTAAATAAGTATAAACATGGGATATTTGTAATATACAACTAAATGATTAAAAAAATATATATATTTTATGTATGGACAATTAAAAATATTATAATGTCTACTTACCAAGTAGGCAGGAGAGTATAAAACTAGCAAAAAATTTTTCATTAAAAATAAAAAATAAAAAAGGGATATTTTACCAAATAGTAATATATTTCATTAGTCTGTTATTTAGTATATTTTTGTGTTTCAACTCAAAGTTTTTTTTTTTTTTTTTTGTTATTATTGAAAAAGTAATTTCACATATTAATACTAAAATATATTTAATTTTTACTTAAATTACAAAGTCATCTTGTGACCGTGAGATCATGAGTTCAAACTCCATCTTGTGATCATGAGATCATGAGTTCAAACTCCGATATCTCCGGGTCTTGTATGTCACACATGATTCGCTTGTGACTTATCTTGTCAGGCCCAGTTTGCAAAAAACGCACTCAAAAACAACGGTCGCGGATTCCCACGTTATAAAATATATATATATATATATACACATAAACTATAAATAATAAAATATCGTAATTATCTTGCACCTTTCTACTAACAAAAAAATTATAATATTTTTTAATCTCCTATAAAAAAAAAATCAAAATGATATATTGGAGTGGAATAAATTAAATATATATTTACTATTTGGACCTTAATTAATAAACCATAGTATTATTGTATTTATTATATATAGTGAAGTGGGTAAAGATTAAAATACCCTTTAACTATATTTGGTAGTAAAAGTCCACTTATACTAATAAAAAAAAAAAAAAAAGTAAGTCAAAATGAGTATGTTAAGATTTATATAAAATAATAGATATTTTATAATATTGATGTCAATCTTTCATAAATATTGAGTGTGTTTATTTTGTGTTTTGAATTTGGGGGTATTTCTTATACTCCTTCGGATCCGCTCTACGAGTTTCATTTATTTTTTGTGTTATTGTACTTAACGTTAAAGATATTTTTATATTTGTATAATTTTTTGCACAAATGTCATTTAATAATATTATAAGACACCAGTAGAAGTATTTCATTTTCTTTTGATTTGTATTACGTTTTCATATAATAATTAATATTCAAATATCAATATGCAAAAGGTAAATGAGACCTTTAGAGTCGGACGAAAGTAGTATTAGTTATAAAGAAACATGCCAATAATATAAAAATTTGTATTTTGTATTAAATTATTAATTTTTTTAGTAGATGGGGTATAAAATTATATATTATATTTTGTATAAATAAATATATGTATACATTATATTTTTTATAATATTAATCAAGAAGCATCTCAAAAAAATTGATAAGTCGAACAAACTCAAGACAAATATGTCTAGTCATTATATAGATATCTTAATGGCTCCGTTCACGCAGCATTTTTTTAGATGAATTAATTTTTGAGTTGTAGTATGAAAATTTATGTCAAAAATATAAAATATATTACTTTAAATTGAATATTTAATTTTTTTAAATAAGTATTTGAAGTTTTTGTTTTTTTTTACTTTTGTAAAAGGTTTTTTGTGTTATTTATTATTATTTTTTAGAATTGCAATTAAAAAATAGTGTTGAAAGAAGGTAGTGTTGTTAGCGAAGAGAAGAAAGGAAGTGTAAGAGTGTGATCTATAGATGCTTTTTTCTGAATGGTGATGATGATGAGAGTAGTGTGGTTGGCATAATGATTATATAGAAATATTATTCACTCTTTATGGATAATAATAGTAATAATAATAATAATAATTTTTTAAAAAAATAAAAATAAAAATTGTGTCGAGGGTTACATGCAAATGCAATCACTGCATGCATATATGAATTATATGATTGCAATTTGCCATTTAGCCACACATGCAGTGATTGATATATATCTGCAGATTCTTCATCATTTCTTGGTCAAGGGAGAATATGAATTATCAATCATATATATATATATATATGTGACATCTGAATTATAATTCCATCAACAAATTATTTATATATATATATATTGAATCTACAATCAACAATGAAAATCAAATACAACAATTTATGTATCATCATAGCGACTACTTGCATCATTATCACTACTCAACCCTTAATTGGTAATTGATTATATATATATATATATATATTGAAAGGGAAATATGAGTTAAATTTGATTTAGAATTTTATTAGTATATGTTGTAAGATATTTATATTAAAATGTTAGTGTTGATGCCGTTTTCAACCAACCATAAAAAGTAAAATTCGAAATAAATTCGAATTTGACTATAATAATATTTGGAATCGAAGATTCCTAAATATCGTACGAAATGTAAGAAAAATAAAAGCAAATTGATACTGAAAAGAGAATAAAAGATGATCCCCAAAGCGAATTTTCACTGAAATTGATACTGATTGAAGATGTCTTCTGCCGGATGCGAATTGCTTGTTATATGTTCTCTAAATCAGTTATCGGATCGTGTACGCAGTCGGTTGTAACTGGCGGAAAAAAACCCCTCGTGGTTGCAACCGCCTGAAAAATCGTCTTCGGTTATATTTCGTGCTACCAACCAACCAGCCGATCAAATCAAGTGACTGATCAACTGCCCAATCAGACGACTGACCAACATACCAATCAAGCGACTAATCAACCGACCAATCAAGTGACTGACCAACCGACCAATCAAGCGACTGATCAACCGACCAACCA